CTCGTCGGGCGCGGAAGCCCGTTGCGGTTATTCGCCGCGCAGAAGACAGACACTCTCGATGTCGTACCATCATGGCGCATATGTTCCTCCCCACGTCTGACAGAGCGATATCGCACGGATATCTCGACGATCTCGACGACGGACCAGACGACCACCTATTGATCGCATCGCATATCGCTCACACCGCACGCAAGATATTCAACAGTTATGGCGATCTCAAGCGCTTGCGCGAGTCTTCGCGGGTGCGGACGCTGTGATGCGGATTGATGCTGCTTCGGCATGGTCATGCAAGAGACGCCTACCTACGCAGTTGCTTTATGGGCTCGCGCTGTAGCTAAGGACCGCGTTTGGGTCACGATGTGCTCTGTACGGGAGGTGTGGCTAAGCGGCGGAGTAGTCTGGTTCCCGGAGCACCTTTCCTCCCGCTGTGCTTCAGGTCGTTGAACACCGCGCGAGAGAAGTGGAAGGGAGCAATGAGGTTGCCCCACGGCATAGCGCAGTAACCGAGCCCTGTCATGGTTCTGGCTCAAGCTCGTTGAGCTCCGCGGCTGCACACCAGGATGACGGCGTATGAGTGACGTTGTGGCACATACCGAAGGTTGCGACGATGAACGAAAGACAATAACATTCATCTCTGGAGCCTCCCGATTAGCACGCAGTTGGAGATTACCTCCCTCGCGGTAGTGGTTGTGTAATCAATTGTATGTCGGCGCGTAGTTCGACGAATTGGGACCATGTATCATAGACCCAGTCCGCCAGGACCCTTCCGGGTAGCGGACACCTGAAACGAATCCATCAAGGATGGAGTATGCGTTCGTTAATCATGACCGGGCAGGACGACGTTGTCCGTTTTCATAAAAGAGTGCTGCGCTCTGCCCTTCCGACAATCATGATATAGTATCGCCTGAGAGGTCCTGAGCAATTCGTTTGCCCGTCGCCTCCATCACACTCGCTTTAAATCAAGCAGTTTTGCATACACCCTCAGCATTCACGATACGGCATCGTCTCACCATGTCACCTCCAACAGCACCTATTCGCTCCAGCTCAAGTGAAAGTAACAACACGGATCCTGGGCAACACCCAGCACCCCTCGGAGCGTGTCAGGAGAGTCAAACACTCGAGACCAAACTGCGCGAACGCTTCGCGTACCAGCAGGTTAGCACCCCTCTACACATATAATCGCGTCTTACCTGCGCAGTTTCATCGCTTGTATCAATTTAAATTGACGGTTGCTTCGGTCATCTAGACGTCCAGGTTCCTGCGCGCGAAACTCCAATACGCGGCGTACAAAGTTCGCAACAACCTCAGTCATCTAACGTTCGAGGAGCTAGAAGACATGGCTCGGCGGGATACTCATATACTGGACAGCGGTGGCGCCGTTGCAGCCCAACACCGCGGTCACCATGCGTGGCGGGGTGCCGCATCTAGTGCTGGGGTTGAAATGACCGCAACACCTGGTAGACTGCCCAAGATCGTCGACGGTGCTCGCACGTCAGGAAGTCTCTACGCGTATATGCTCGCTGTGCCACCTCCAAGGCACTCGTGCCTTCACCACACTGCTAACTCGCAACCAATGCCGCCCAAGTCAAGGCGCAGCGGCGCGACGCATCGGCACAGGATTCAACAGGCTGACGCCGACGAAACCTTGGTTGCAACTTCGAGTCGTTGTAGCAGCGACACGGCCTTGGCCATTTCAGCGAATGATTTCAGCTCAAAGCGCAAGACATCCCAATGTGAAAGCCCCGGCAGAGCCAACAAGCGTAGACGTGCCGACGGGAATAGCGCCGTAGTTTTCCGCTGTGACGAGGAAAGACCACCTAGCGGAAATGACGACGATTCACACAGGGCGTCCTGGTCATTTCCTCGCCCATTGGGTCGCATGAGCAATGTGACTGGCAGCGTACCCATTATCGATCGCCAGCAGAGGGGCATATCAACAAGCCATGCCGATCGGTCGGCATCCTCACAACCGCACAAGAAGGCCAGCAAGCGCCATGCTCATACATCCTTACTTGAGCTAGCTTGCAGGAATGTTGCATCCGGATCCTCTGCACAGGGCGGCAAACTCGCAAATCCGGGTGGAGACGCTCGTCACGAAAGCGATGCAAGCCGCACAACACCGATCGAGAATGTTGGGTCAGGGTTTTGACTCCTGGGCGTCGATGATCCACGGGTACGAAAAGTCAAATATCGAGCGTGGCCAATCTTTCACTCCATGCACGTTAGGGGACTGCTCGAGCATGATGTCATGGGGTCGACATTGATACCTGCCGTAGCTGTGATGGCCTTATACGGCGACTACGTTGACAGTTCACGAAATAAAGATTGAATAAAGATATATGATATTGCACCCCCCATTACTTGATTCGCGCAATGACACAAATATTGATCTATCACCGTAATCATGGCATGAACTCTGGGCTGATTCAACAGATCGACCACCAACATGTCCTTATGACGAGTTTCAACCTCTATGGCTATCCTGAACTTGATACTATTATAATTGTGTCATCTAGCTCCCATCAGCACCAACCAACGTCAAGTCTCGTTTCCTCCATCGAGCATTGAAGCGATGGCATTCTACGCTGATATGCTTGTTCTGTTCCCTCGCCGACCTTCGACATCGCACGGACTCCAGTCCAAACAGACTCACATGTGCCACGGATCGGTGCGCCGGCGACATGCTGGGGATCGCCCGAGTAATGCATCTTCGCTCGTCATGACATTGCTGGCATGCTCTTGTACCGCATATTCAAGTGTCTCATAGGAAGGACAGCACCGTGCACGCGCCGTCGGAGGGGGTTCTGGGACCCGTGACCGCTCTCCGATGACAGCAGCACTGACTACAGTGCAGACGCCGTACCGGGTTAACACAGTCGGTCGCGAAGCCACATGCTTCGTGGATGGAGGCTTGAGCCCGCCGGGCATACGAAACGGGGCGGCGGTGACGAACGCCCTATGCAGCTCGCGCGCGGAAGGGACGGGAGTGCGACAAAGGCACTGTCATGTTGCAGAGACAGGCTCTGCAGCAAGCACAGAAGCCAGGAACGCGTACGGG